CTAGCATGGCTGAACTTACCGCAACATCGTCCAGAAGGGGGAGGACATGAAATGCATGCACTTCGCTGATCACCTGCTTGTAGCTCAGTAGGTGGGGAGAGGCTGGCTGATTATAAGCGTGTTGCCAAAAGAAGGCAGAAACGTTGGGTTCATTCTTGATTATAGTTTTCAATGTTTGTTAAGAATGTAGAGCAGTGGTCCCCAACCTTTTTGTGCCTACGGGCACATTTGAGAGTTTATGAGATCATGGCGGGCACCAACCAATTAACAAAGCAAAATTTTCTTTTCTGTGGACAAATAAGATATGGACACCAAATAATACGCAAAACAACACGACGTTTAATGATACAAGAAACCGCGCAATCAAAAGTACGTAGTTTTATAAGTACAATTATTATTACTCGAGTGGAAAGTTCGTGTGATGTTTGGCGCTGCATTTCATCGGCCGGTTTTTCAAATTTGGGAGCGTAGGATGATGATGTCGCTTGCAAACTCTCGTTAAGATGGGCGTCAGTAAGTCGAGATCTGCGCTTTGATTTTATAATGTTCACAGTTGAACAGCCTTCATTATTCAGTATGACATCTTTCCGTAACAACGAGGGCACCCAAAAAAGCCATGGCGCCCGCGGGCACCGCATTGGGGACCACTGATGTAGAGTGTATTTTGCACATTTAGTTACTACTGAAAAATGGTAATTGAACTGAAGAGATTGGTTGATGTTGTGGGGTAGATGTGGGTGGTTGGGGAGGAAGGGGGCAGGTGGTAATTGTGGTAGATGGAGAGAATGGTCTTGAGGTATTGGAGTTTATTACAATTTCAAATAGAGGGGGTGTTGCTGTCTGGGTTTGTTTCATTTAAATGAACACCTTTTGTAATGCTATTTTTATAGTGTGCTCGTGTAACTGCCCTTTCTGGCGTCTTCAAGAATTTTTATTGTGTCTTCCAAGGTGCCATTTGAGTGTCCAGTTCGTAGAATAAGTTGGGGAAATCCTCTGCTGGGTTTATTAGCTTTTATATCCCTGATACGTTCCTTGAACCTAGTTTTGAAATTTCTGCGTGTTTGTCCTATATAGAATTTTTGGCAATCTTGGCAAGTTCGCTGGTAAATTCCACTTTCGTTTGTTTGTCTGCTGTTTTAGGCACCTGTATATAATGTTGAACGTTCCGAAACTAATATTGACTCCTGAATTTTTACAGAGGTTTGGGGGGGGGGGGGGGGTATCAGCTGTTCCATGTAAGTTAGCGTAGCCCATTTTTAGGTTTGTCTGGGGTTGAAAGATAAGTTTGAGGAGTTTGTGTGATGATGGGATATCCGCTGTTGTGAGTAATGGTTTTGACGGTTTTCATGACTTTTTTTTATTTATGGATAGTGGAGTCGTATATGCGGTGTTTAACACGCAGTTCATAGCAGCCCTTTTATGATCTTGAGGGTGGCATGAGTTATTGCAGATTATAATTTCTGTTGTGGTTTTTTTTTTCAAAGATGTTGTATTCAAGTTTTTGGTTACTCTTCTTCATGGTTGGATTTAGAAAATTGATGGTGTTTTTATGTTATTTTTCTGCAATAAATTTTAAGTTGGGAGTGAATATAATCAAATACTGACAGCATATATTCAATATTTGATAAAAACTCAAAAGGCAGAAACATTGTATTTACTTAGCAAACCAAAAGTGAAAAATGTAATATCAACATGAATTTAAATCTCAACCCATAATGTAGTGATGAGAGGACACTCCAAGAAATGCACGGATTAAGTAAAATTATTTTAACTGAAGAAATTAATTGGTTATATACGAATAGTATTCTGCTGATGTTTAACGTATGTTGTGATATATTGTACATAATTAAGTGCCTTGCTGTTTGAAATGCCCTTCTTCTGAATTCTTATTTTAATACTGCACATTGCTTTCGTGATTGTTTTTTGAGAGCAGCAGTGTTCATGGTGCACAGTGAAAGTTTATCCATGTCTGATTTCTCCTTTTACACCAGGTCCAGCAACATGTAATATTTTTTTAAAATTAAAAGACTGAGGATAACTGCATTTTGTGGCTTAGAAAGCCATCATCACGTGGTTACATATTATTATTCCGAGGACTAGAATGTTGTTACATTCAATATACATTGATATGTATGGTAAGTTGTATATTCATATTGCATATTTTATTGTGCTAATTAGTTAAAGCAGATTGCTTATGTTTGTTATTGTTTGGGTAGGTTGTTATGTAAGATGTCATGATGTTCATGAGGGTTGGTTATAGATCAGTTAATAGAATATGTGAACTTCATTGGTTTATTATATGATGATAGTTGCTTGAAGACATTGCACTCGGTGTTTCTGAATGTAGGGGTCCGCAGTGGCCGCGCGGTCTGAGGCGTGGGCCTTGTGTCGCTTGGTCGCTGGGACCGTGGGTTCAAATCCCACTCAAGCCATGGATGTTTGTCCGCGCTTTCCTCTGTTGTGTTGTCCTGTGTACAGGTAGAGGCCTTGCGAAGGGCCGATCCCTCGTCCAAGGAGTCCTACCGAATGTCTATAGATCGAGCCAACGAAAAGTTGGGACCCGCAGTGCTCAGGAACTTGGAGAATGGGTCGTTCCCAGTATCCCAGTTCTGTCCTGTCTGTCCACGTGATTCAACTGAGAGCCACTGGATGGGTTTAGATGAAATTTGGTCTTTGTGCCATTGAAGTGTAGTTTGAAAGAGCAACGGGAGTGAGGTGCCACTGCAGGGACAGTGTGATGTGTTGGGCAACCCAGGTACAGAGGAACCACCAGTGGGTGTAAACCTCCAGGAGGGGGATACACGTTATGGGTTGCAGTCTGCAGTTAGTGGTGGGATCCGCATGGGTTAGGTTAGGTTAGGGTGGTCATGGGGGGGATGGAACAACCTTTTAGGGCGAGCCCCTCTTTTGGATGGAGCCACCAGGAAGCCTTGTGTCTTCTACTAGGGCTGACCCACCAGTTTACGGGTGCCCCTGATGGTAAGGGTGAGTGTTGGTTAGTATCCGTTTGGGTAGGATACATTAGGTTAGGTTAGTTCGTTTGGGTTAGATTATATTAGACCGGGTTACGTTTTGTTGGGAAAGTGTATTATGTTAGGCTGTGTTGGGTTAAGGTTAGGTTGCCGGGTTTGGAGCGGGTAGGTTGAAGTGACCGCGGGGGGAATTGGGGCAGCCCAGGTGTGTGTGGCCATGACACGGGGATGTGCACCAGGGGCGGTGGCCCCCGTTAGGTACGATATGTTGCGTCGGTGAGACTGGTGTGTAATGCGTCGTTCGTTGGGAGCAAAACTCCTCGTAGAAGCATCCCGCTGGATTGGACAGAACACCCAAGAGCGACAGCGACGCCTTCGTGGCACGGAGACAAAAGAGAGGCGGATGCTCCTTATGAGATGAATCCCACCGAATGGCGCTGTGTCCTCAGGATTAAGTTAGGTTAGGTTAGGTGCATTCAGAATTCAAGGGAAACTGTGTATACAGATTACGTCTTTGTAGACTTGTTATAGAGGGATTTAATGGGGGAACGTAGAGTATAAAAATTCCATGTATTCAGAGAATGTGTCATTCATTTGAATTCTTTTCTAGCAGTTTGATATATATGTGGAAATGTTCTAGCATATATATATTTGTTTTTCTTGGTGATATGTAAGATTTCTAAGGTGTATTATTCGATCATATATCTGTCTGGTATTTAAAATATGTTGTGCACACATAGGTTATGATTTATTCATTTGGATACACTTGTGGATAATTGACAATTACGGGTATTGTTTGTGTACTTCTTGGTGGTGAATTTTGGATTCGGTATTAAGAAACTAAATTCCTTCCATGTATTATCAATAAGTTTGTTATAAGAAATATAGATGATAAGAATATCATCTACATATCGAGAAATTTAAGATCTGACTGATTCTGTGTTAAAATATCTATTATGGTTATGTTGAAGCCACTGAAGGAAAATCTCTAAAATGATGGCTGATGTAGGTACACCCATGGATAAGCCGTTTTTGTTTATGGTAGTGGTTCTGGAACTGGAAATAACTTGTTTTTAACTACATAAAAATTGCATTGCAGTGGGTGGGTGTAATACTTATCATCATGGGCGTAACAACTCAGGGTGGGTGGGTCTTGGCCTGCTGAAGACAAATCCGCCATCGGGAACCGTCAGGGGCGATGTTTTTCCAGTTCCTAATACTGATGTTGTGGAAATCTTCAAGCCCATCAGTCCATCGTAACTTGGTTCTTTCACGTCTTCTTGTACCATCAGGTTTTACTTATAATTATAATGGTGGTTAATTGGAGTAGTATTATATCTATGTACATAATTATATATTTTCATGAATGTTTGCCGTGCCTAATACTTAAGAATTCTAAATTCACCCTTGCATCATGTTTAGTAGACTGTTGGTTATCGGAACTTGGCCTCATTGGTCTAGTTGAAATGTGTTCGACTCTTCGATGAACAAGTTCTCGTAGAAAGAAGTTCATGGAAAATGTTGAAATAAATATTGTAGTCAGATCTGTTTATACTAGATCGCGTATTGTCACCTAGCAAAGAATCCGCTTTGGAAATAGACTGTTTTATCATCAACGCTTTACTGTGATCCAGTATGCCTGCAAACAGACCTGTTCAGCCACGAGTTAAATTGGCTTAATGAAGAGGAACTTAACTAAGAATTAAATCTGAAGACTTAATGTCTGCAAAAGTGGTATTTG